TGTGTGAATTTGATCCTGTCATCAAGATGCTATTTGGTTATTTTGCACACTAGTTGATATAGTTTCTTCATAGTGTCATTGATCTTTAGGAATAGTAAGGAGGCCATGGATGGGGCAGAGTGAGTGAGGAAGAGAGTAGGTAGATGGGTCAGAGATACGAGAGTGAGCCAAAAAATGTAGGGCTTTTGTAGAAATTTTGGCTCTAACTCTGAAGAGAATAAGGTGCCTTTGCAGGACTTTGAGAAGAGAAGCGCCATGATTTGACTTATATTTTAAAAATACTCACTTTAGTTTCTATGTTGAGAATACAAAAATTAGGGAGCAACATTTGAAGTAGAAAGACCAAACTAATCCAGTCATCCAGATGAGAGATGATGGTGGATTAGACTTTATGCATACAAATGGAAATGATAAGTGATTGGATTTTGGATGCATTTTGAAGTGCAGCCAAAATAATTTCCTGATGAATTGGATGTGTAGTGTAAAAGAAAGAGAGGAATTGAGGGTGATATCAAGATTTTCGACATGACCAAATGGATGATAGAGTTGCCATCAGTTGAGATGGGGAAGGCTGTAGGAGGAGTGGGTTTTGGAGAAAAGATTAGGAGTTAAGTCTGTGACATTTTGAGTTTGAGATGTCTGTAAGACATCTGAGTGGAGGTTCTGAGTAGGCAGTTGTATATATCAGACTGGAGTTCAGGATGCAGATGTAGCCTGCAGACATGAATATAGAAATTGTTAACATAAAAATGTTTTCTATAGCTATTGGACTGGGAGATATCACCAGGGAAGTGTAGATATAAATGAGCAGAAGAACAGGGACTGAATTGTAAGTCACTCCCATTTAAACAGGTCTGAGAGAAGAGGAGAAGTTGGTGAAGATGGAGAAAATAGGAGAGTGCAGCGCCTTGGAAGCCATGCGATGTAAGTGAAGTGAGAAGAACTCACACATGAACTATGCCAAATGATGCTGGTAGTTCAAAACGAGGGATTAAGAATTGACCATTGTATTGAGCCATGTGAAAACCATTCATGACCTTGACAAAAGTAATCTCAGTGGAGTGGAAGAGGTGAATACCTGATTGGAATGTGTTGAAGAGAGACCAGGAGAAGAAAAATTGGAAACAGGAAACCGTAAAAAGCGGATGAGAGAGTAGTCAAACTGGATATCTGAGGAAAGAACTTTCTTGACATACAGAATAGATATTGTAAAGGCCCTAACACAATAGTAAGCATGGCTTGTCTGAGGAATAGTAGGGAGGCCACACCTGGAACAGATGGGGTGAGAAATATAGAATAGACAGAGAAAATGGAGGATAAGGAAGGATGATTGTTTGGGGATCCTTATTGATGCTAGGTTGATGTAGATAGAAAGCCTAGGGGAGTGTGGTTTTAGGTCAGGAGTCCTGGTTCAAATAATGCCTTATATTGAACATGAAAACATATATCACATGTAACTGTAAAAGAGATTTCCATCAAAGGGGAACAAAGAAATGGGATAATGGTAGGTAGGAGAATTGAAGTCAAGAATATGTACATATAAAAAGAATGTGCAGGCCAGGCGTGGTGGCTACGCCTGTAATCCAAACACTTTGGAGGCCAAGGCTGGCGGATCACCTGAGGTCGGGAGTTTAAGACCAGCCTGACCAACATGGTGAAACCCCATCAAAAAAAAATGTGCATATATATATATATATATATATATATACACACACATATAATAATGTGTGTACAGATAGATAGGTAGATAAATAAGAAGAGTACAATTGTATCCTGAGAGAAACGATACAGTATAGAGTACAATATTGATGATGCTAGACATAAGGAAGAGAAAGATGGTAGAAACGTCATTGAATTGGTTTGAGAGAAAGATGTTGTGGGAAAGGAGGGGAACTTTTAGACAGGAGTCTAGAAATTTCATGGATGCTATCAGCAGGAAAGTCATATAGTAGGCAGGTGCAGGTAGGTGAAGTGATGTGGCGATAAGTGTCTGTGATGGTTAATATTAAGTGTTAACTTGATTGAAGGATGCAAAATATTGTTTCTGGGTGTATTTATGAGGGTGTTGCCAGAGGCGATTAACATTTGAGTCAAGGACTGGGAGAGGCAGACCTACCCTCAATCTGGGTGGGCACCATCCAATCAGCTGCCAGTGTGGCTAGAAAAAGCAGGCAGAAGAAGGTGGAATGAGCAGACTTGCTGAATCTTCCAGCCTTCATCTTTCTCTCGTGCTAGATGCTTTCTGCCCTCTAACATCAGATTCCAAGTTCTTTGGCTTTTGGACTCTTGGACTTATACCAGTGGTTTTCCAGGAACTCTCAGGTCTTCAGCCACAGACTGAAGGCTGAACTGTTTTGGCATCTCTACTTTTGAAATTCTGGGACTCCGCCTAGCCACTACTGGTTTCCTTGCTCCTCAGCTTGCAGATGGCCTATTGTGACACTTCACCTTGTGATCATGTGAGTCAATTTTCTTTAATAAACTCCCTGTCATATATACATATATCCTATTAGTTCTGTCCCTCTAGAGAACCCTGACTAATACACGGTCTGTGGAAGTGTTCTTCTGAGGGCTACAGTTTTCTAGTGTAAATAGAAACCATGAGAAGAGTTGTGGTGGGGAGGTGATACAGAGAGTATGAGGGGAGAGAAGGCCATGAGGTCTAAAGAGTGATTACCTGTTAACATTAAAGGTCTGTTTTAAGTTCATGATCATAAATTTAAATTGAAATGAGTCATGTAGTTATCTATTTTTCTTTGGCCAGATTTATTTTTGTAGGCTCAGGCTTGTTGAAGTGTAGTTGAATTTAGCCAGGGTTATTTTTCCTAGGAAGCAATACAAAGTGAAAAGGCAGGACAGTGGAAGGTATATGTAGATGAGTGATTGTAAAGACTGAGTGTGACATTTGAGCTAGGGAAGGAGGGGAGCAAATACAATTAAGGGAAGAAGAGATAATGAAAATCTGACAAGATCAATGTATTGAAAATTCTGGTGAGGCTGAAAGAAAGTAGGGTCCAAAGACAGCTGAAAAGAGAGGAGGGTATGGTCAGAAAGGGGGATGTTTGAAATTGAGATTATGGAGGGGTTCAAATAATTATAGTGACAAGGGCTAGAGTATGACTATGTGAGTAACTGAGGGGTAGTTGAGAACAATGTTATGGAGGAGAAATGTTCAAGGAACTGAAAAGACCAGTTTGTCAGAATTATCATTCTTGAACTTACTAAGAATTAAAGCAGGGCAACTACCTTTGAGAATGACTGTGTTGTAGGAGCTAAAATCTTTGAGAAATGAGTGGGTAATACTTGAAATTTGTTATATGACAACAACAAAGGCTAGTCAATGACATAACCTGTCAAAAGCTGGAAGTTTTTAGAGGGGTGGGAGGGGGATTGCTATCTAAAGTCAGCAATGAGAATCAGTAAAGTCACTTACATAAGCTTTAGGATCTGTGGTACAGGGGCGGTAGGAGTAAAAAATCATCTGCTCTTCATGAGTAGGCTTCAAGGGATCTAGAATTCTCATGGAAGGGGGAATTCAGAGAAGAGGTTTAAAATATGGAGGAATTGCTGAGGGTGCATGGTGTTTTATTAATAGAGGAGGGGTGAGAAAAGTGAACTAAAGAGGGGGTGTGGACACAACCTTACGGAGGTTAGAATGTATACATTGAAGGGTGTCTTGGGGTTACTGGCACAAATGGAGATAAATGTCATCATTAGACAAGTTCTAATGATTCAAGGCATATCCGGTTGCAGGATTTTGAGGTTTGGGCTATGGAAGGGTAGTTGCCTGGAGCTTCCTGTCAATCCCAAGTGATGTGAGGGGTGTGGTCTTAGACTTGGATCACTGGTTCAAACAAGGCTTCATTTTACACCTAAAAACAGAAATTACATTGATCTGTAATAACAGAAAAATAGGCTAGAAACTACACATAACATTCAGGATAGGACTGCCCCTGGGGAAGTGGAAAGGTTAATGGAAATGGAGTGAAGGTCAAGGAAACCTCGATTTTTTTCTGTAAAGGTTTCATTCCTTAAAAGAAAGACAAAATCAATATACCTAAATGTTGACAACATTGAAATCTGAGTAGTGGAAACATTGGTGTTTGTTATATTTAATGCCAGGGACATTGTAGGTACTCAATAAATATTATTTGTTGAATGACTATGCCTTTTTGCTTTAAAAGTTTCTCCAACAAACATACACAATTCTCAAATTAACAGAAAGTGCTACAAAAGCAAAGAAAAGGTACTGACGTGAGGTGGGAAAGCTTGAGAAATCCTTGTGGAAAGAGTGACATTTGATCTATACAGATATATACCAACATACATGAGGTGCAAGATAAAGACATAGCTCTATCTCCATCTTAATGCTCTAAGGTTCTGGGTGAGTATCCAGAAAATGATCTTGAACTAAGTTTAGTCCTTTCAAATAAATACCGGGTCCTCAATTTTGTCTTCCAACAGACACTGGGTGGTGCTGTTGTAAAAAAATTCCTCTCTATCACGGATTTATTATTTCAATCTACAGACATCTCCACAACTAGTGTGTCCTGTGGGCCAAAGTGCTAGGGATTGGGGATGTAAAGGTGAATAGCCTCAGTTGTTCTGTGGTGATTATAAACTGCTATTGTGTTCAGTGGCGATTATAAACTGCTATTGTGTTCAGTGGCTGAGAAAGTTGCAAATGTGACTTTTACATTTCATAGGCGAGCACTACTGTCACAGAAATGTCCAGTTGTAGGGGCGAATGGTTCTGAACCACCCACTATCGCCATGAGAACCCCTAATCCACGACCTGGCCAAGGATTAGAGCAGAAAACACCGAGTCCCACTCCCAACCTACTGTTGGGTTGTCATAGTGTCCTTAGGCTCCAATGGCTATAAAAAGCCAAGAGAGCCTAAATACCGGTCATTCCGCTTGGACCTCGGTCAGGTGTTCTAAGCTACCTGGGCAAGATGTGCCCGCTTATTGAAGAGGCCCCCGTTATTGTGAAGGAGTGAGTGTACTTGATATGAAGGGAATGTGGACCCTCAGGACTAAAAGCAGTGGGAGAGGCCTGGGAGGTGGGGCCTGGGTAGGCGGGGTCTGCTCTGACGTCACGAAGCCCCTGATGGTAGAGGAGACGGTGGGCGCAGGCTCTGGAGGCCCAAGCGGAAGAGGGGAAGGAGGTGAGCCCGGGAACCCTCGGCCAATGAGAGAGGGCTGAGGCGGGGCTGCTACGGGGCTTAGCACTGCGGGGCTCTGCGCGGGAACGCTAACCTGGTCCGGAGCCGGCCTCGGTCTCAGCCCCGCGGGCGGCCTTTCCCGAGTCTTCAACCCTTCAGGTGAGGACGTGCGGCCCCGCGGAGCCAGAGGACCATGGGGACGGGAAGGCGTGGGGGTCGCGAGGTGGGGATGCCGCGCCTTCGGGAGCCAGAGCGGCCGGGGTTGGGGCTGGCGCCTCGCGTCTGCACCGCCGCCCGGCCGGGCGAGTCCGCGCCTTTGTCTTCCCCCGGGCGGGCGCCGCCCTCTGCGCGGGATGCCTAGCCCTCCCGGGGGGCCGGTCCCTGAAAACAAGGCCCCGCGGTGAGGAGGGGGGACGAAGCCTTAAAGCGGCCGGTCCGCAGTAGCTGCGGGTCTGAGGCTTAGAGGATGAGGAGTTTGGGGGCCGCCAGGAATGGGCCCTCTGGGGCTGGGCCCTCGTTCCCTCTCCTCGCATGGCCGTTGGGCTGGGCGCCCGACAACGCTAATAGTTACTTGAAAAAGTATGCCAACTGCTCCTGACAGACTGGCCTCTGCGCCCGGCCCTGCTATTATTTGTTAGTTCCATTTCGCAGCGCCGAGATTGGAGTCTGATCGCTCGGCCGAGTAGGGCCTTAGGGTAACCTCGACGGAATGGAGGCACGTTCGGCACTTCCGGCTGCTTGGGGTCCTCTCCATTCTACCCCGGCACTAGACGAAGTGTCTTACTCCGCCAGGGTGGGGCCGGGCTCGCCCACCAGAGCTCTGTCTTGCGATTTCTGGGATATCCTATTGTCTCTTCTGGACAAACGCGGGACGCTCACAGGGCACCAGGCATTCCGTCAGATCCACAGCCACGCACCTCTGAGCCTCATCTCCTTGCGTCTCTCTCTGCAGAGAAACGATGGTTAAATAAGACTCCTATTTGGTTTATTCCATTTTGCTGAAGTCCTGGGTCTGATCCTAGTTAGCTGTTCCTTCTTACAACGTGTATAAACCAATGCCACGAGGAGCTATTATGAGACGTCTATTGTAGTACCTTAATGTACTGTCTTCTTTGGGGATTTAAAATAGAAATAAATTAGTACAACTTATGCCACTTTGTTGTGTGCTGCTCTCCCATGTCCCAAGAAAAATGCCAAAACCCAAAAGTAATAGAAAGTGAAGATGCTCAAATAGCGCTATATCTCCTGTTACAAAATCATTACCTGGTTAAAGCCAGACTTTTTTTTCTTCTTCTATTCCTGTCTGGTCTTATGTTTCTATCACCTCCATTTTACCCTTGCTGTGATTTTAAGAGTAAGACATATTGGCTCTGGGTTTCTAGAGCATCTTGGTTTCTGGGACGTTCTGATCCAATGGCATTTACTGCCTATCGGAAATGGCTAATGCTATGGAAATTAAATTATACTAACAAAAATAAAACTTTTCTAAGATCTGTTGTTGTTTTTTCTGTTGAAAATGAGCAGGTAGAATACACATTGATAGGAAATGTGAAAATTTTTGCTTGTGACCCCTTAGTCCAAAGACAGTTCTGCCAGGTAAGCTTTCTTAAAAATCTTTTTTTCTGGCGGAGCGCGGTGGCTCACTCCTGTAATCCCAGCACTTTGGGAGGCCGAGGCGGGCTGATCACTTCAGACCAGGGGTTTGAGAGCAGCCTGGCCAACATGGTGAGACCCCCGTCTCTACTAAAAATGCAAAAATTAGCTGGGCATGGTGGTGCATGCTTGTTTGTAATCCCAGCTACTTGGGAGGCTGAGGCAGAGGAATTGCTTGAACCCAGGAGGCGGAGGTTGCAGTGAGCTGGTATTGTGCCACTACACGCCAGCCTGGGCGACAGAGTGAGACCCTGTCTCAAAAAAATAAAGATAACAATTTTTTTTTTTCTTTTCAGTCTATCTTCTAGTCAAGATGAGTGATAAACCAGACTTGTCGGAAGTGGAGAAGTTTGACAGGTCAAAACTGAAGAAAACTAATACTGAAGAAAAAAATACTCTTCCCTCAAAGGAAAGTAAGTCATGGGGGTGTTCTAGTGGAAATAAACATTAGAGAAAGTTAATAGGTTCGGTAAATCTTCTAGTAAATTTTTGCCACAAAGTAAGCAATAATTAGAGCACCTTGGTATTTAATGCAATGGGTAAAACTATCAAATAGTTTTCTTCTTGTTCTCACATGATGGGTCTAGTAGTGATGGGGCAATAAAAAACTAGTTTCTTGTTTGAAAATGATTAAAAACCACATTACAACCAATCTTGGAATATTAGATGTAGCACTAAAAAGACACTTAGATTTTGTCTACTTTTGGGTATTTGGTATTTTTCTACATTTAGAAATTTTAGTCCATAATATTATCCTTAAAGAACCCTGTAGAATCTGCAGTTTTGGCCTTCTATATATGATGACAAGACAAGGTGAGATAACAAATTTACTTCTGGGTATACTCAAATCTCTCAGATTCAAGGGATCGATTCTGCCCTTTGGAGTTACAGCCTGATGGAGAAACCCTAAGCATATTCACAAAACCTGAGAGGCCCCTTTTGTTATATCAGTTTTATTTGAAAGTGGCAACATTAGTTAAAATTATCTGAAAGTGTATACTTTCCTAACTATATAGTGATCAATAAATCTGAAGAAAGTTCTCCGATTACTCCTCGGTCTTGAATAATCTGAAAAAAATGGCAACAGCATTTGGAAAAACAAACCCTACAGTTGACGTAGTTTCTAATTGGTAGTTCAGGTGGTTAATGTGCACACACATGCATGCACACACCACACCGTGAGTTTCACGGTTAATGCCTTGGCATTCCAAATTTAAAGCATATATGGCAGCCTTCAATGACTTACAAAGAGTTCTTTTGGAAGAAGCTGAACTTAGGAAAATACTTTTGTAATTTTTTGTTTCTTTTCCCCCGCTAGCTATCCAGCAGGAGAAAGACTGTGTCCAAACATCATAAAATGGGGATCTCCTCTCAAGAGCAGATTTCAACATTTCCTGACGGTCTTGGTTTTAGGCTTGTTTTTTTGGTAAACCTATGTGTTTGTAGAGATTTCAGGCATCTTCTGATTTCTTCTCACCTATATTTCCTGGCTAAGAGATCTGGGGTAGTGAATGTTTCCTTAAGTTCCTTTCTAAACTTCCCATTGGTATGTAAACTCCAAATGGCAGATGCCGTCAATAATCTTGCCATTGATGACAGTTGTGTGTGTAGTCCTTCCACCTCATACAGGAGAAGCCAATTCTAACCTTCTACAACGGGTGCCTCAATTGTTTCATAATCTTCATGAAGTTGCATCCTTTGGCAACATCTTACAGTTTATTTTCACCTCCAATGTCGCAATAAAGTAATACATATAATCATTATCATGTGACTCTTGTAGTTCATTCTGGTAATATTCTAAGGAATGAAAAGTACATAAGGCTACCTTTTCAGCCAAACAAAGTGGTTGAAGGAAAACTGCTAGCAGATTATTCATGGGGGGAAATAATCAATTTTGTCCAGGTCCAGTGAGTCCTGACTTGGGGATGCTAGGTGCTCTTTCTTTAGAGTTGGAACCACAGAGTTACAGAACCTTGGGAGAGAAGGTCATGTGGACTAACCTCCATATCTCAGAACAAAGAAATGAAAACAAAGGGTCTCATGTGATCTGTTCAAGCTGAATAAGGGCTGGAGTTCAAGCTGGGTTCTCTTGCCTTCTGGAAACTTTTTCGGCTTAATGGGAGTTAATATCCAAGACTGAAGGTGGCTGTCTATGTGCCAAGAAGGGAGCCCTCACCAGAATCTGACCTTGCTGGATGTCAACTTGAGATTTCTAGAATCTAGAATTGTGAGCAAGTACATTTCTGTTAAGTCACTTAGTCTATGCTAATACAATAAGGAATATGTGTAAATGCATGCATTTCAATTCCTGCCTTTAAACAATACTTTTATCCCTTTTTAAAAATTATTATTTTATTTTTATGGGACAGGGTTTTACTCTGTCTCCCAGGTTGGAGTGCAGTGGTACAATCACAGCTCACTGCAGCCTTGACCTCCTGGGCTCAAGCAATCCTCCCACCTCAGCCTCCCTAGTACCTGGGACAACAGGCACGTTCCACCACACCCAGCTAATTTTTTTGATTATTAGTAGAGATGAGGTCTCTCTATGCCCAGGCTGGTCTTGAACTGGGCTGAAGCAATCTGCCTGCCTCAGCCTCCCAAAGTGCTGGGATTATAGGCATGAGCCACCATGCCCAACCTACTTTAATCACGTGTATAAAAATGAATCACCTATAATCCCACCAAATAGAAGTATTAGGCATCCAGACTTGTGATCGATTAATGTATATATATATATCTTCCTACAAAGATAGATTATACCATTCATACCTATTTGCAACCTCAAGTATTATCTTACCTCCCCCTTTCTAAGGGCTCACATTCTTAAATAATCACTTGGGTTACATGAAGTGGAAGCTGTTTTCTCTGCTATAGCTTAAAGTTTCAAAAGCAAAACAGTAGGCGGGTCAACTTGGATCAAGTGCCAATGAGGTGACACAGTCACAGGGCTTAGTGTAGCCAGAGGATTTGAATCTTGGAAGTAACCATGTCGGTCACCAGTAACTTACCTCCTATCTAAAACAGTTGTCCAATAGTCATTCTGCCCCTTACAATGACATGGTATTTACACTGTGCCCAAAATTGCCTACCTTTAGCTCCTATCCAACAGTCCTCAGACAGTTTTTTTGGATACTTTCACAAGGTGGTTAATCTGTCCTCCAGTATTTGAAGTCAGCTGTTGTGTGCCTGCCCCTATACTTCCAAGTCTTCTGCAGCTGACTCTTCTAAGATCCTTCAGACCCAAATTTCATAGATGGGAAACCATCCTGGTTGCAGATATGCTCAGATTTCCTCATTATCAGGTCTCTGAATCCTGATAATGATCCTATCATCCAACACATTTGCTCCCCTTTCTGTGTTGTCATTTGCACATTTGATAAAGATGGTATCCATCTATGATAGATTCAGCAACTTCTTCATTTGCAAACTAGTGCAGCTCAAAGGAAAGCATGAAGGTTGTCAGGTGACCTGGGGTTGAACGATAACTCGTAGTCAGTTGCATCTGGTAGTTGTCCTTTTCATTAAAGACTTGGTATGCACCCTGTAAGTGTTAAACTGAGTTGGAGCAGATGAGAAGTGCATGGTAGGAGGTGAAAGACATGTAATTACTAAGTGAATACTCATACAGAAACGAGATGGGAAAAATGGCAGTTGCTCATCCACAGTAGTTTTGCCCCGTGTTTCTCAATTATTTAATGTTGGGGTACTCTTCTAGTCACTGGGTTTACTTGTCTTTTCAATCAGGGTTAGATTTTTTTCCAAATAAGCAAAGATTGAGATTTAGGTCCCTGAATTCATCTATTATCTACAAAACTGGCAGTACTAGGGCTTTGTTGTAGCAGTTGCATTCATAGGGGAAGTAAAAGTCTGAAGTCAAATGATTGTCTTCCTTTATGCATCTACATCCTTTGAAAATCACTTGTCAATGGCTTTACACCTTTATTCTGTCTGTGTACACAGGCAGATATGACCTTAATGACTAAGAACAGAAAAGGATGAAATGTCAGAAAGAAAAACCATACTGAAAGTGAAAAGAGGAAAAGCAGCCAAATAAAATTTCATGCCTAATTCATCTTTACCAAGGATAAAAATGTCTCGTTTAGTATCATGGCTTAAAATTCCCACGAAACTGTACAGGCCAGTGAGTTTTAAAAACATTCTTAGAATATAATCAATGCGTGTTCATACCTAATAAGAATATCTTGGCTTTGGCATCTTAAATGTGTAGAAATATGTTTGATGATTACCTTGATAATATTCTACCTATTTGAACTGGAGCAAGTGACAATCTTTGTGGTTCAGTTTCTTCATCCATAAAAATGGACACAATTATTGTCTTCATTTTTATGGATGAAGAAACTGAACCACAAAAGATTGTCACTTGCTGAAGAGATCTTCTGAAAGGTAATTGAAGTGTTCCCCGTAAAGCACTTAGAACAATGCCTGGCACAATCACCGTTCACTCAAGGGTGACTCTTTATTACCACAGCAACCCCTGGCTTAATTGACATTAACCAATGTGAGTGTCAGCTATATAGGTGGTAATGAAAGGGAGTGAAATAAACTGGCAAGGTCAGAAGTGGGGTAAGTTCAGTCAGTCTTCTGCTTAACACGTGGACTCTACCAATGTTCAAGGGATTGTGATTTTCAGTAATATAATTGTAATTAGTCCTTGACTTTATCATTGAACCCAATATGTTGTTGTCCCCATTCATATCAAATGGTGGAGAAAAATCTCTAAAGAGCCATGGAAAATACTGACATAAATGTGTAGTCACTAATTAAAGGCAAAGGTATTGATTAATGGTATCATGAACATGTCTGATATATAACTGGATATTTTACATGTGGAAACAACACTCAGGTCTCTGCAGCAATGTTTTCATGCAGAAAGCTTGTATTAAAGATTTCCAGAGATATAAAACCAATAGATTATTTATCCATCTATCTATAGAGAGTGATTTATTTTAAGAAATTGATTCATGTGATTATGGAGGCTGGCAAGTCCTAAATCTGCAGGATGGGCTGGCAGCCTGGAGTCTCAGGTACAAGCTGACGTTACACTTTAAGTCTAAAGTCCATGAGGCTGAAGACCCATGGGAGAGCCAATGTTGCAGTCCCAGTGTGAAGGCTGTCTGCTACAGAATTTACTCTTGCTTTGGAGAAGTCAGTCTTTTTGTTCTGTTCATGCCATTATGGAGGGCAGTCTGTTTTGCTCAGTTCCATTGATTTAATGTTAATCTTACTCCAAAACACCTTCACAGAAACATTCAGAATAAAAGCTGACCACATATCTAGGTTGTGTAACCCAACCAAGTCAGGTTACCTAAATCTCTATCCTTGCTTATTTGGGTAAGAAATCTCCCCCTGGTTGGGAAGACAAGACAAGACATAAAATTGGCCATCACAGAGCTAAATGTGGATCATTGGGTAATGACTGTAAATACCTAACCTGAAAATTTTCCCCACTCCCTGCTTCCCACCCTTTCTGTCACCAATTTGCAACAGGATAAACATATGCTCCCCAACTTCCAGTGGACTTATGTCCAGTTAAACCTATCATAAAGTCAAATAATTTTAAGTTGTACCATGCTGAGTTGGAGTCCGTCTGTATTGGACACAATTGTACAACACGGAATGGCTAAGCATATGCCTCAGAAAGCTATTGCAACATAGAATTGAGCACAGGAATTGTCGAATTTGCTAACCGCTGCTTGAAAAAGCTCCCGTCTTTGCCTGAGAAAAGCATATTCCTTGTATACCTTTGCAGGAAGGCTAACTTGATGCTTTTGCTTTTACACCTCTGAATTGATCACATTGCCTTTCAGGAAAGATCAAGCTATGAAAAGGCTTGCTGTGAAGGGGAGGATCACCTCAGACTGTCTACCCTAGCTATCCATGCCTTGATGGTGCCATCACTACAACATGAGAGAGGATGGCAGAGGACAGTGTTCAAGTATTTGGGTTCTGGACTCAGACTGAAGTGGGTTTGAATCCTTGCTTTTCCATTTATCAGCTGTGTTATCACTGGACACATTACTCAGTTACTCTGTGTGTTGTCTGCAAAAAATTGAGGCTAAAATGTCTACATCATAAAGGGTTATTGGAAGGAGTCAATGTGATATAAAGACCACGGAGGAATCACAGTTTGACATTCTCATGGCCTTAACACTGAGACTCAGACAGCTTTATAGAGAAAGAATTTTTTTTTAAGTGCAGTACAGGAAAGGGGACTGTACCCAAGAGATCCAGAAGGGCTGTGTGGACTAGCCACACAAAATACAGCAAAAGTTGTCAGGGGCCAGTGTCTTATCTAATACAGGTTTATTCATTTATGTGCTTATTCAACAAAGATATGAGTGCTACTACACTCACAAATTCTTGCATGATCTAGTTACCCTGGTAAGTGCAGAGTCGTACATTTGGGCATGTTTCAGAGTGAAAGCGATGCTATTTGGAATTACTCAGGGACAACAGGTGAAATCAGGACATACAGTCACTATACTGGGGAAAATGTCTGGGATTAGGAGAAAGAGTAAATAGTCAACCTTTAAAGCTTTGTCTGTGCCCTCGCTCACTTCCACACTCATTCTCCCTTACTCCAGAGTGACGGTGTATGATGAAAGAGGAAGTGCATTCAATTGGCTCAAGAATCAGGACCAATCACAGTTTGGAGAAAGCATTGTACTGAAATAAGTGTTTTTATTGTCTCAACTTGCCATAGTTTGTCAATTTTGTGAGACGCATGTGCTTGAAAGTGAAAAAGCCCTACAACAATCACACTGAAAGAGAGAGAGGGAGAGAGAGAGAGAATCATCCCAATTTTCTTAATTGGTCACTATCATTTTCTTTGTGAACAAATGTGAATCTAAAACAGCCAGTCTTTCAAGAAGGATCCCAGTGGCCGAGCCTAAATTTAAAATAGAGGCAAGCTGTCATGTGCTGACTGGAGCTCACAGATGTACTATGAATTCCCCAAAACCCACACCGCTATCTAACTTTGGAACTTTCAGAGCTCACCTGAACCAAACAACCAACCAGAGCTCACCTGCCCCTGCCAATCAGGGCTCAGTTGTACTGACCGATCAGAGCCCAACTGAGTCAACCAATCAGACCTAAGTCTGAATCCTGTGTTTGCATAAATGGGCTGTACTGGGAACTTTGATGGGAAGTTTCTCTATGAAAGCCATATCCTCTTTTTGTTCTCTGGAACTGCACCTTTGTTTCACACTGAAGTCTCTACCTCCCTGGTTTTTCAAACTCTTCACGGGAATAGTCTCTTACCTCCAGATGCCTTTTCAGATAACTTTTCTTTGCAGGATGATGCAAGAGGTAGGACACATGCTTACTCACAGCTTTGGATTCATATCCTGAAATCACCACAATTACAATAAGGCAAAAAATCAAATGAAGAAATATAAAGTGGACAAAAAGCACAAACTAATTTTCTCCTCAATTTACAAGCCTGAACAGCTAGGAGGGCACTTAATGCATCAGGTCAGGTCACCTGCTCCCATCCTGAGCCAAAGGCTGAGGCCCAGGGCTGAAGATACATTCCTTGAGCCAGTGGAGAGTGGGGTTTGGGTGCTCTCATTGGATGCTTTCATCCTAAGTGATGCATACTCACAGGACATTAAGCTCTGCATTAAAAAAGATTGTAGAATGGGAAATATTAGAATTAGACACATGTGAACGCGTTAGAGTACTTACTTCAGTTTCTAGGAAGCTTGAAAAAGGTGCGTTCAGTGAATTCCTGATTTAGCAATTTCTGCACTGTGGGTTTCTGTTATGTATTTAAATGAATTCTATAATAGACGCAATGATGAAAAAAGATTGTATGAGGTCTGCTTGTTCCATTAGTAATGTCTGTCTCTGTTTGATGTTTCTAAATTGTTATTTATAGCAGTAAACTGTTTCCCTTATTTGTGTGTGTGTGTAATGTGATTTAATTAACAATATTTAAGGTACAATTTTTGTAACCACATTTATAAATGAGCTGCTCAGATTTTTTTTTTCAGTATCCATCCTGAAATGGGAATCAACATCGTGTTGTGTTTTCTTGAAATAAATTTTGTCTGCTGGGCACGGTAGCTCATATGCCTGTAATCCCAGCACCTTGTGAGGCCTAGTCAGGAGGATCGTGTGAGTCTAGAGTTTGGAACCATCCTGGAGAAACAAAATGAAACCCGGTCTTTCCAAAAAAAATAAATTAAAAAGTTAGCCGGACGTGGTGGCACATGCCTCTAGTTCCAGGTACTCGGGAGGCTGAGGTGGGAACATCACTTGAACCCGGGAGACAGAGGTTGCAAGTGAGCTGAGATCGTGCCACTGCGCTCCAGCCTGGGTGACAGAGCAAGATTCTGTAAAAAAAAAAAAATTTTTTTTTCTTTGTAAACCGGGAACAATCTTATTAGGAATAAGTGACCTGATCTTAAAAGTATGAGAGGAAGCAGCATTGGAATTTTGGAAGGTACCTTCCTGGTGATCTCCATGTCTTGAATTCTTCTTAATCGTTAAATCCTTGTTTGGTTCAATTTCTGGGATTTATGTTTTACATTCATATATTTAAGAAATGTTTCTGCTCAGCCTTTTCCACCACAAATCTGGCCCCCTCTGCTTCCTGCTAAGCCACCTGTTTGGCTTCCACCGCTTCTGTGAACTCCTTCCCGAAGGTCAGATGTGTCAAGGACACATCGTCCAGGATGAGCCCAAAGGTGGCTGCTCGCTCCGTAAGGTCGTCGCTCACCTGCCTTGAGACCAGTTCTCTCTGGGTGAACTGCATTGGTTCTCCAGCATCAAAGCGAGCCACCACTGACTTGAGGATCTCGGTCGTGATGGACGGCAGCACGCGCTCATCGTAGTCCTCTCCGATGCTGGTGAAGACGCGAGGCAGCTGGCTAGCAACGGGCCGGAAGAGGATGCGCAGTGTGATGTTGACATTCTGTAAATCTTTGCTACCAGTGATGACTGGCACATTACGTGGCCGAGAACGGCAGTCAAAGGTAATTGGTTTCTGTACCCATGGGATGAGAAAGTGAGTCCCTTCCCCTACCACAATGTCCTGTACTCCACAGAATTGGTCAAAGATGACAGCTCTGTGCCCAGCATCCACATTATATAAGGCCGAGTTCACCACGCCTCCTGCAACAGCTAAGGCCAGGCCAAACTTGCCAATGGACTCAAACACTTTGGCAGCCATGTTTTCTTCTGCTGGACCCTCTCACACCTGCTTCCACTCTGACCTCCACATGAATTCCCCCATGGCGGCTATCATCTCTGCTGAGGGCGACTCCAAGGCAGCCGAGCTGATTGCCAACTCACTGGCCACCGCAGGGGACGGCCTGATCGAGCTGCGGAAGCCGGAAGCCGCGGAGGACATCGCGTACCAGCTGTCACGCTCTCGGAACATCACCTACCTACCGGCGGGGCAGTCCGTGCTCCTCCAGCTGCCCCGGTGAGGGCCCACCCCTACCTGCACCTCCACGGGCCGACTGGGCCACAACCCCAGTGATTCTTGACACCGCCTCCCTTCTGCCCCCACCCCAGAAATCACTGTGAAATTTCATGATTGGCTTAAAGTGAAGGAAATAAAGGTAAAATCACTTCAAAAAAAGAAAAGAAGAAATGTTTCTGAATGTATTGTCATATATTCTTGAAGCGTATTTGCTTAACCTCAAAATATTTCCGATTTCATAGATTGACTTTTTCTCCGTAAGAAGGTTTCTTAGAGAATTGGGCCAGTGTTTTTTTCACCCAACATCGCTTATTCACCAACACTAACGTTCAGAGTATTTGGGGGATCAAAATACTGTTCAGAAAACAGTTTTAAATTTCGTACACGTTTAAGGGTTGGAAATGCTTTTACAAGCATCCCAATTTTCGTTTGTGTTGTCTGCTTGGAGACTGTGGTTTGGCCATTGTTCCTTATCCACATTCACTGAAGGTGTTGATCACAACTGAAGACAGGGGCCAGACCGTCAGGTCCTTTTATGCCCAGGAGCCCTTGGCAGCCATGTCAGGGAGTTCCTGCTCAAACCAGGCTTGCTTAGCCTAGGATAGCAGTAGATTCTGAGATGCACCCATCTCAGAATGGTCCACACGTGGCCACAGTCATTCCTCCCGCATAATGGACTTGGGCTCAGGAGGTCAAGCTCTTTTCAAGGAGCATGAGCTGAAATTGCTAACCTTTGGGAGTTTTCAGTGACACCTTTGGAAATGCTCACGGTGTGGCGTGGATCAGCTGAGGAGGGCTGATGTGCCCTGTGGCCCATCTATCTGTGTAACTTTGAGGTAGGCCACAGGGGCCACTTAGGCCGGCAGACGCCCACTGTGATTGGTTGACATGATGCCAAGCGACAGGGTCATCCGATCACCTTCAAGGCAGTGACGTTTGCTGACAGGCTCCCTGGGTAACACTTCATCCAACCAGATGTCGAGTTGGCCTGTGACGTAGAACCACGCGGCCACTCCAAAGTGCCCCGCCCCCAACCTTCCCGGGTGCCCAACCGTCACCGTCTGTTCTTGCCATCTAATGGCCGCTGCCTCCGCCATGGCTGAGCCTTCCTCTAAGCCAACCTCTGAGGACGACCAGAGCACCCAGGAACCCAAAGAGGCCAGCTCCTCGACGGCCCAGAAGCAGGAGAAGCGAGGGCGCCGAGGGTCCCGCAGCCGCCACGCCAACCGCGGCAGGGACAGCTTCCAGGACAGCTTCGTCACCTATTTCCCCTCGGCGCTGAAACAGGTTCACCAGGGTCTCAGCCTTTCCCAGGAGGCCCTGAGTGTCATGGATTCTATGATTCATGACATATTGGACCGCATCGCCACCGAGGCTGGTCAACTGGCTCGCTATGCCAAGCGTGTGACCATCACCCCCCGGGACATCCAGATCGCCGTGCGCCTGCTGCTGCCGGGGAAGATGGGCAAGTTCGCGGAGTTCCAGGGCACGAGTGCCGTCCTCAGGTACACCAGGAGCAAGTGAGCTGCCTCAGCAGCGCCTGAGCACCACGGAAACCCAAAGGCTCTGTTCAGAGCCACCGCAAGTGGCCCGAAAGACTGGTGGCCCTTTAAGGGGAGGACCCCACTGGAGGCTGGGGTGGGTGACACTGTTCTGACTTAGCAGGCATGTGTCGTGTGGTGTCCTGGGAGTTTTCGAGCACTTTTCCCTCAGTACTAAACATTGTCAGCTCCGATATATCTGCAGGGCAATTTGCTGCAAGGAAAAGCAGTGGGTTTTTCCGTGACCGTGTTTCATTTCCTCAGTTTCCCAAATGGCCGTTTTTATTAGTTATCTTTCTAGGTTATCTTTACGGTGGTATTACCGATGTACTGATACTCGCCTTTTTCACTCTCGTTCTCCTGCGACTGGACGGTGGAATTTTCCAGAACTTCATTATGTGCGCTATGGAAACAGAGAAAGTGAATACGCTGATAGAAGAAGCAAGGTAACCATCTTAAAGCTTTTCAACATCTCTCCCATCAGGAATCCATGTAAATAAGCAAACGAGGCCCATTTACAGTGTACATAGAGCTAAATAACAGTTTCAAGGATCCATTCATTTTCCCACTTCCTTGAGTCGGAGATCACTCATGCAATTCATTCTGTTTTGGGCCTGACAGTAATCTTTTCATTTCTTTTTCAACAGAACCCTTCCTTACTTCCAGGTATGCATCCGTAGGATTTGGGAGGATCCACGCAAACAGCTCACGGTCTACTGGTACCGCGGCGAAGCAAAAGAGTGACCTGCAGCCTATGAGCAACAGTCATTGTCCCAATGTGGGGAGTGACCCAGGCTGAACCCACAGCAGCCCTCCTGTGGTATTCAGCCTGGTGGTTCAAGGGACAGGGGTGTGATTCTTCACCTGATGGTTTTGTTTTCGGTGTTTGTAATCACGGTCACTTTAGGATATGAATACAAAGCTAAAATTAGTGTATGTTCCTTGCCCCTAGCATCAAGTTATGCAGAGCATTGTCAACCATTAGGAGAAGTAAGATAATGCTTATTTCCTCAAGAGAGTTACATATTAATATTCATATTAATGTTAACATAGGCTGCCTTTAATGGTGCTTTCTTCTGGCTCTCAAGTGTGTACATTGTTAGCGTTTTTTTCTGTAAGCATATTGCTGAATTTCAGAGCAGCTGGTGACTTTCCCCTTGCTTTTCCCTTAAATCCATTTCTAGCCTCCCGAGTATGTGGACAGGAGAACATCCTCTGGGATTGCAACCCATAGGAATTTATTACGTGGTGCCTTGAAGCTCAATACATGGCCATTTTTGTTAAGTGTTTCCCGTGCATTTGCAAACATCTCATAAACAACCCTTCTCCTTCATATGTAGAAACCAGTAAAGGATGGCACTCTCAGTCAAAGCACGACACAAAAGCTGGATAAATGACAAAAATCAAAATTTTCTTGGGCCCCTCAGAAGCGGGAAAGTACCACCCCAGAGGGACCTAACACGTAGCCACGTGGATTATTCCACTTTGACAGGCGGCCGCTTGGCCAAGAGGGAAATGGGGGCAGGGCAGGATAGTAGCCACAGCTTCCCTGAGTAGTGCAGATGGGAAGCCGGGAAGCTTCACCCTCAGAGCTCCACCCGGGAACCATAGAGAAAGGATGTAGAACCAAGAAGTCCCCTCATCGGGATTTGTTACTTTCTCTGTTTCCAGAATATTAGAAAAATGTTATGAAAATAGTTGAAGAGAAATACTGCACAAGGAGACCAAGAAAAACCCTGACAAAATCAGCCACGACTGATCGCTCTGGATGGTGCCGTCAAATGGTCCTACATGTCCAGAATAACATCCTGAAAACCAAAGACGCTTTGGAGAAACCTGTTCCCTTTCAGAGACAGAGCTATGCGCCTGCTCCAAAACACCACATCTCACTCCGTGGCTTAATTCTCTTTATGTGAATTGTTTTGCTGTCAAGTGCCAATATTTCTGTGAATTTAGACATACTAATAAATTTCCAACGTTATCCTTGCATATCTGTGTAATTAGACAAGTCTTTTAGAGAAACCACATCCATTGGGATATTTTACCCTGGACTATGTGTTTTCCACTTGTAAATTCAGACATCAAAGAGGAACATTAGTAAAATAGGGTTAGCAATGAAATCTGATTGGGCTCTGGGGAGTGAAGAGTGAGGGGCAAGGGGACTGATGCTGGCAAAATATAGGAAGAAAGAGGAAAAGGGTGGTTTCACGTGAAGCTCAGAAGAGGAAGCTCACACATTTGATAGAGATTTCAGTGGGTGATTGAGGAGAAAGGGAACCGAGCGAGCAATCGTAATGCAATGCTGTGGGTTACAGAAAACACAAACTAAGGGAAACAGCTTTACTGCATAAACAACAAATAAGAATTACCAATGTAGGGAAAATAGTATGAATGGGACAAACATAGTACAGTCAAACATTTTATCAGCACTCCCTGTAACATAAAGTTCATTTCAAAACATAGGCAAGGACCCAAACACATTACAGAGAAAACTGCAACAAAAAGTGTAAGGAACAATACCTCTTCTAGGCTCCCTGGTAATGGAATCTTACTTGTTTAGATTTATCTGATTCTGCTTTTCCTCAGGCTAGAACCTTTTGTTTTTGAAAATCTTCATGACCCGCCTCTACATATCATGGGGATGATGGCGTGTCGTCTGCTGGAGTAGCACAAGCTCCACTCGGATCCCTGTCAGGCAGTGTGGCACCTGCAGCTCCACAGTCACAGCACACAGAGTGATCAGGTGTCTCGGTATGAATTAGTAAGAGTTAGTTTTCCAGGGATGTTCAGTCCGAGTTGAATGGGAAACCTGTGATTAGATGGGTGTGGTTCTTTGGATCTTTGATTCGTTGTATCTTTTTAATGCTGTTGACGCAGGAGTATTCTATTCCTTTTTCTAGGGTTGCTGCGAAAATATTCCACAGATTGACTGACTTAAATGCTATTTATTTTTTATCTCAGAGTTCTAGATGCTAACTATCACCTTTTTGTAAGGAGAAAAATTCTGCTGGGTTGGGCCTACCATCATACCTTCACTTTAACAAGATGACCTGTGTACAGATACTCTCTAAATAAGGTCACATTTTGAACACTGGGGGGAAGGACTTCTACATGGGAATTTTAGGGAGACACGACTCCATCCATAATGGCACATCTTGTGCATCCACTTTCACGTCCACATTAATGTCCCCACATAGAAAATACATTCATTTCATCACAGCATTCCCAAAGTCTTAATCCACTCTGAAATCAACCTCTAACATCTCATCTGAAAGTCTTCTATATCTGGAATGGGTGAATCTCCAGGTAAGATTCATGCTGAGGCAGGAATTCTCTCCACGACTGCACCTATGAAGCTGGATGAGTATCAGCCTCTGAAATACGGTTCTGGGAATAGTACTGGATAGGGCTTATCATATCAAAATCAGGAAATCAGAAAAACTACAGGAGTCTGTGGGCCCTAAGCAAGTTTGAAACCTACCAAGGCAAATTCCATTAGATTCCAAGGGTGGAAAAGACTCTACCTGGGCTCAGTGCTATTTCCTTGAGGCCCAGTGGGTTAACAGCTTCACACCCTAAGCCCTGGGAAGTGGAGGGGGGGGTTTCACTTCAGCCTGCGCTGGTGCAGCCCATCCCTCTGAAACCAAGGTGGGATAAATGCCTGGAACTCAGGACGTGACCTCCGTTTCTGGGACCAAGAGAGAGATGACCCAGTTCCCTACTACAGTACGCCTGGTTCTTTGGGGCAATGACAGCCATGCCAACCTTTGACCCAACTTTGGAGTCCTTCTTCCCTTTCTGAGGAATGAAGGAATGGTCACAGCTGGGTAGCTCCGTCAGTCCCTCTCTTGTCTGTACAATCCAGGAACTCCAACAGCCTCCTTTCATTTTGGCCCATCTTTGCTCCATTCAGTCTAGTCTGACAACACTTTTTCTGGTATAAAAGTCTCAAAAACTTGCTGGCTTCCCATGGAATTCACACGGGTTCAGGCCATCAGACAAGAAGTTGTCTAGAGATCTTTCTTGAATAGCTGTGTCTCCCATATCTCAGTTCCTAACTTCTTCAGAGATGGTTGATTGGATCCATGAGCCACATGCCTCACCTCTTTAGCTAATGGTTTTCCAGGGGCACCCTGACACCTGTTTCCAGAGCAGGGTATCTGTATACTTGAGTTCCTTCTGAATCACCCAATGCTGGCTTTCTTTTCCTCAGTGCTTCCTTGGCTAATTTGTCTCTTTTCTCTCCCCTTTCTTTAAGGATCTAGGAGAAACCGGTTAAAATGCTAAATACTTTTCTCAATTTGCCCGTGTAGTGGTCAGGGGTCCCCCTGGCCTCCTTAATTTCATTGAAAAATTAGCTCGCAAAAGGCAGATCATTAGGACATAAGGCATACCAACTTATTTAAAGTGTATCCCTGGGAGCCTTTAGTGTTAACAGCTGAAGACACATGAGAAATTATCTATTTTTATGCCTGGCCTCAAAAGAGTATGGACAGCTGTGTATAAATATGATGGGACAAAGTATACTTTATCCTATATTTTGTTAGCTATATATAGCTCAAAAAATGTCATGAAAAAATCTTTAGTTCACTGACCGTTCAGTTCCATGTAATTAACTGTCGCTCTGCTTGATGTTGGGTTAGCAATCCTCACGCTCACATTTGTTTTTTCAACAAATTTCAGGAGCCCTGAAATGCTTTTTCCTAGTCTAGTAGTATGATCTTTAAAGTTATCAGAAACCTCTATTTAAAAGTGCTTGCAGCTGGACGCCGTGACTCACCCTGTGATCCCGGCACTTTGGGAGGCCGAGACCAGTGGATCACGAGGTCAGGTGTTTGGGATCAGCCTGACCAACATGGTGAAACCCTGTCTCTACTAAAAATACAAAAATTAGCCGGGCGTGGTGGCATGCGCCTGTAATCCCAGCTACTCAGGAGGCTGAGGCGGGAGAATCATTTGAACCTGGGAGGCAGAGGTTGCAGTGAGCCAAGATCGTGCCGCTGCCCTCCAGCCTGGGTCACAGAGCCAGATACCATCTGAAGAAAAAGAAAATGTGCCTGCCAGAGTCCCTACCATGAATTTTTTAGAGAAGAAAATTTTTGACAGTTGCTGCTTATAAACTACTTTTTGAGAAAAATCAACGTAAAACAAGAATTGTCAGTTTATGGTTTATGACAAACGTGTTTTAATAGCCCTGGTGAAAGCCACAGTCGACAAGGAGATTTGGTTATTTCTGTGGCATACAGCAATTATTATGAATAACATATCCCAAGACAGGTTAGAATTTTAGGAATCTCATTCAGCTTTGGGACATATATTCATAACACTCTTATACAGATAGAACCCAAAGAAGTTTAAGCGTGATTTCATATTTGTCAGTGTTTCTTGTATGATGTTAAGAGACCAAATAAGCCTAATAAGTCTCTCTCAGACTTCCAGGGTGCATAATATCCAAAAAGCTGGTATGAGGTCCAAAGAGCGAATTCTGAATTTGCATGGATTTGGGGAAGTTGTTCTAGTATCAAAGGTTTGAAGCTCTTGCTCTCAATAGGAGCCCACGTCACTGTAAAATAACAGTCATTTATTTAACCAAAGTGGAGAATTAAAGGTTTTGAAAAGCAAAAGACCTTTACTCTTTGATGGAGTTGAGGCTCGGTTTCCCAAACAATCATCAGCACTGATGAGGAAAGCGTGAGGTCACCTGACTATCTCTATCTGTCTCCCTCCCTCCTCTGAGTTTCGTGTTTCTGCAAAAGGTAAACAAAAATAGTTTACTACCTGTCTCCAAATTTTACCTTCACGTTAGTGTATGCTTAACATCAAAGCTAATTTTCCTAAAATCTTTTAAATAAATACATTCAATTTTAATTGGTTTGCCCAAGAGGTAAGATATTTAATGAAGCTTTCTATGTTTTTATTCAATTTTAATTGGTTTGCCCAAGAGGTAAGTTATTTAATGAAGCTTTCTGTTTTTATTCCTTTTTCCCCACTTTTTCATAATTATTTAATTTTGTTTTTTAATTTAAAGCAGTCCTTAAAAAACTTTTAAACTAGCCAGCAGTACATTTCCTCACAAAACCTGCATTATCCTTCCTTTTTATGACCTTTTGTAAATTCCAAAAACTCACATTGCTTTTTAAATATACCTTGTACATAAAATTGTTTCTATTGTATCCAGAAGTTTTAATTGTACATGTTAACTTTAACGTTAACTCTCAGTAGCCCTTATTATTATTGAATAACCCAGGAGGTAAGTAATTTTAATTATGTATAAGATGTAGAGCCTAGGACAAAGGGCAGTGTCTGGAGTGAGGCCTCTCCACGGACCTGTAAAAGTTTAAATTTGAAGACATAAGTTCCCAGACAAGCCAGTATCAAATGTATTACAGAAGTAACTATTTAATGACCTTAAAACATCTGATAGAGACAGTATCTGACTGTAGACTCAAACTCTCTAATTAAAGGGGTACAGATATTTTTCTTTTGTTTTACCAATACTTTTACAAGTAATTGAATTCCCCATAGTTTATTTAGGTCCTGTGAACTTGAAAGCTATTTGGGCTAGTTATTTCATTTATGAGCGCTCATTTATGTTGAAGTTGATTTGCTATGTGGGTAGCCAATATATGGACATATGTATAAACATATACATATTTTTAGGCAGACTATATAAAATTTACATGCATACACGTGTGTGTGTGTGTGTGTGTGTGTGTGTGTGTGTGTGTATCTTAAGTATTAACATAAATTGAGTTGATTTTTGACTATCGGGCTCTTAACAAATCCTTTGAAATTTCTTCTTATTAGATTTTAACCGGGACAAACAGCTAGTATTTCTTGCTTTTGCCCTTTTCTTGTCTGTTTTGTTGTCTGTAAAGTAAAGGTACCTTTTCAGTTAAGTTTAACCAAGACTATGACTTAGCCAAGGATGCACGAGGTATCTCCAGAGAGTGGGAAAAGTAGTTTTCACAAGACCCAGAA